TTTCAGATAGTCAGGGCCTTGGCTGACTGTCCATGTCTATTCTGATACTGGAACTAATTACTTTCCCAGCTTTACATGGGTCTGGCGCTTAACTCCTGCGTAGCATCCCAGTGTGTTAATAGACTTTCTTTTGGCAGGGGGATTTCCAAGAATGCCTTTTAGTCTACTAGAAAGGGACTATAATTAAAGGCAGGAGTTGAACTTTACTCTAGTAGAGTCATAAATGTTCTTTGTACATTATCCGCATATTAACATCATAGTAACACTCAGAGCTATTCAATTACAGTAAACAGAAGGAAAAAATCCACTAATAATAATGACCTACAAAATGGCCTAGTCCTGAGGAGAAATGCAACAGTCTTATTTAAGTTTCTGGAAGAACTGGAAGGATTGTTTCTGGAAACACAAAAATCTGAGTTCATCCACAGATATACAATAAAAAATGATATCACTTAGGCAAAATAAACTATTTTGATATTTGTTTTTCTATTCAGCAAATATAGAGCTGAGAAACTGAAAATTTTCTACATTATATTTGGGAAAGTCCACAGGTGTAGTTTTGGCATTTGGAGTCCTAGAACAGTAGTTTGTCATTCCTGACTGGAAATGGGGTTTTTTTTAATGTTTGCCTGAGTTTTATAGGAATTGTATTTTGGGCAGGTATCTGCATTTTCAACTCTGGGACAGAAATTCAGCCTTCACACAGCATCTCAGAATGAAGAGTCAAGAGATGCCTCCTGGCTCTTCAACGGAGGATGCTCCTTGGTGCACCACAAGAGATGCTAGTGAAAGAAAGGGGACAAAACTTCCCATCTATCTCCAGATAGTAGATTTAATAGCAACAGAGTGAAGACTGTATTTCTTCTCTGAGTCTTTGATGTACAGTTAATATCTGATGCGTCTACAGACCTGTTTTTCCTTGCTCTTTCTAAAGACTAAAGAGTGGACCCTTCTCATTCCATCTTTATTATTTTATGTTTCTCATTGCACTTCCCTTGGAATACGTTTTAGTCTCCAGGAAAGAAGTATCCTTCTTTGAGACCAGAGCCTCTCTACTGTTGTCGTGGTTTGGCCTCAGATGGCAACGAAGGGCCACGTGGCAGCTGCTCGTGCAGCCCGGAGCCCCCAATGTCGCTGAGGCTGGGAGGGAAGAATCAGAAGAAAAAGTCAAAAACTCGAGGGTTGAGACAAAGGCAATTTAGCAGAACAGCAAAGGGAGCAAGAAACAACAACAGTAACACCGACAGAGGAACATACAACCACGATTACAACACCGCCACTTGCTGATGGCACCCGGGACGCCCCTGACTGCCCTGCTCCCTCGGGGGGACTTCCTCCTCCCCTCCCACCTTCTTTTCCTGTCCCTCAGCAGCTCCAGCTGCCCCTGGGCATGGCCCACAGGAGATGGGATACCTGTGTCCCTGCTAGGTCCTGGGGAGAATTAACCCTAGCTCCATCAGACCCAGGACAACTGTGCTGACTGTGCAGTTCATACAATCATAGAATGGTTTAGGAAAGGCCCATAAAGATCATCTAGTTCCAACATCCCTGCCAGGGATATCTCCCACTAGACCAGGCTGCTCAAAGCCCCATCCAGCCTAGCCTTGAACACTTGCAGAGATGGAGTCTCAACAAGTTCTCTGGGCAACTTTTTCCCCTATCTCATCACCCTAATATGAAAATTTTTTTCCTGATATCTAAATCTACCCTCTTCCAGTTTGAAGCCATTACCCCTCATCCTATTGCTCCATGCGTTTGTAAAAAGTCCATCTCCAGCTTTCTTGTTGGCTCCATTTAGATGCTGAAAGGCCACTATAATGTCTCCATGGAGCCTTCTCTTCTCCATGCTGAACAACCCAAATCTATTAGCCTATCTTCACAGCAGAGGTGTTCCAGCCATCTGATCATCTTTGTGGCTCTCTGCTGGACCTCCTCCAACAGGTCCACATCCTTCTTGTACTGAGGACCCCAGAGCTGGAAGGAGTACTCCAGGTTGGGTCTCCTGAGAGTGGAGTAGAGGGTTAGAATCACCTCCCTTGACCTGCTGGCCATGCTTCTTTTGATGCAGCCCAGGGTATGGTTGGCTTTCTGGGCTGCAAGCACTCATTGCTTGCTCATGTGGAACTTTTCATCCACCAATGCCCCCAAGTCTTCTTGGCAGGGCTGCTCTCAATCCATTCTCTGCCCAGCTTATATTTGTGCTTGGGATTGCCTTGACACATGTGCAGGATTTTGCACTTGGCCTTGTTGAACTTCATGAGTTTGGCATGGGTCTACCTCTCAAGCCTATGAAGGTCCCTCTGGATGGCATCCCTTCCTGCCACGTCTGTTGAGCACGCCACACACCTTAGCATTGTTGGCAAACTTGCTGAGGATGCACTCAATCCCACTGTCTATATCACTGACAAAGATGTTAAACAGATACCAGTAATAAGCCCTGGGGAACACCACTTGTCAATGGTTTACATTTGGACATCGAGCCATTGACTGCAACCCATTGACTGGCCAACCCTGCCACCCAGACAGTTCCTTATCCAGCAGGTGGTCCATCCGTCAAATCCATGTCTCTCCAATTTAGAGACCAAGATGTCGCGCAGGACAGTTGGGTAGCTCTCTTATCACGAGTGCAATAAAGGGACAACTAAACTGGAAGTGGAAATTACACTTCCTTTGGCAGTACTCCTTTGAGAAGCAGTCTTTCATATTGTGATTCACATTGAATCACATCAAGTATCTTTACAGTTTTGCAGTAAGAAAATGGTGAAAACATCTCCTTGATTTATTTGTGTATTTATTATGGTATATAAAAGACAAGCAGAAGTAGTGCAGAAAGGTGAGGCTCACAAGGCCACTGTTACAGGCTGCAGGAAAAAGCACAGCTGAATATTGACGGGTCTTCATTACAGTGTAAGAATTTTTCATGGACACAGTTACTGATTATCAATTATACGCTTGTATTTTTGCTGTAGTAAGTAATCAAAAGACAGCATTTTTCCAATAAAAATGAATAGTCACTTAAAATAACCTAATTAATATTACAGAGCTATAAGCAGGATTCAGCAAAATATGGCCTCTTGTGCCTGTGCCACGGAAAAGAGCACAGCTCAGCGAAATACTGACTGTCATAGCATTTTCAAATGCACACAAGCTCCAACAGTGTGTGAAGGCTGAATCTGCAACTGTAGAATAAAAGTATCAAATTAATTATGGAAAAGGTTGGGGCTTTTTTCTGCTTTCTATGGCCAGCGTGGAGCTGTGTCTTTGCTTTTGCAGCATGGCTGGTAAGGGTTTAGTAATCTGCTGTTGATCAAAATAGGATACTGATTCATTTGGATTTTAAAGCATAGTGTATGGGTTTTACAGTACGTGTATGATTCCTACAAGCTGTTTTTCTCATTTTCTGTTAAATTCTGAAGTGTGTACAGAGATTAATTCTGGCCCTCATTGGGTAAGTTCTGCTCTCACGTGAACCACCCGAGCAGGAGGGCGGACAGCCTGGCCCCCTCCTCCTCCTGGGCTGGCAGTGGCAGAAGGTCACAGGGGACACTCTCCAGGTTCCCAAGCACACCCACCTCTGCATAACCCCCCCCGAACCACCACAGCCCCTCTGCCCACCCAGCACCCCTGCCCTGATCCCAGCCCCCCAGGCCTGCCCCACTCGCCGTGTGGTCCAGCTTGACATTTGCTGGTGGTTGCACATGCACACCGGGCTTGGGGAGGATACAGACACGGCCCCTCACTCACGCCAGGGACCCCCTGCAGCTGGTTTTGGGAACACACACTGTTCCCATCCCACAGCTAAAGACCTCACCTGCTGCAGCTGCTGGCACCGAATGACAGAATGACAGAATCAGTTTGGATGCAAAAGACCAACCGTTAACCCAGCACTGCCAAGTCCACCACTAAACCATGTCCCTAAGTGCCACATCTACCAGCCTTTTAAATACCTCCAGAGATGGTGACTCAACCACTTCCCTGGGCAGCCTGTTCCAATGCTTGACAACCCTTTTGGTTGAGAATTTTTTCCTAATATCCAATCTAAACCTCCCCTGGCACAACTTGAGGCCATTTCCTCTTGTCTTATCACTTGGTACTTGGGAAAAAAGACCAACCCTCACCTCAGTACAATCTCCTCTTACGTAGTTGTAGAAAGGGACTGAGACCCCTCTGGCTCCAGCAGCCAACATCACAGGCCAGGGGCATCCGCACTCCCCTGTGACTCTGGCAGCTGGCACCACTCCTCTCACAACGGTCCCCTGGCAGCTGGCACCGAGTCCTTGCAGCACCCACACGCACGGGACAGAGTGAGATTACACAGAGAAGCAGTTAAGAGAAGATTTAATGGGGAGTTAGGACAGATGGTGTCAATCAGGTGCAGGGCTCAGCCAGACAAGCGTACCATCCGGCCAGGGTTCACACGCGACCGGCCCCCTTTCTGTCTGTTCCTCCTTTCTTCCTCACCTGCCCATTGCCAGTTTGCACAGTCCCACCAACTCCCCTCCAACATCCCGGACCCTCCGGTCTGCATCCTTCATCACAGTCGCAATGTCCCATTTGCCTGCAGTTTCTTGGTAACTGTTGAATTAGTGTGACTGATGAAGCTGGCTTCTTGTCTTTGTCTCCATTATGACTTGCCTGCCAGGTTCGTGTCTCCGTATACTTTACTGCTTCCCCCTTTTATCATCTGACAAGGTCTTCTATCAGATAATCTTACTGAAATAAACATGCCTACATTCCACTTATCCTTACCAGTTTGTGCGACTGATCAGTTTTGGGTCTCATTGCTGCCTCCCTTATCACTTGTCGGTCAGGTTTGCGTCTTGTTCTTGTTTATGGCTTCCTCCTTTTTTTAATATCCCCATTTGTGTTGAGAAAGTCCTTGACCAGACACCTTAAAGGAGCAGAGGAGCAGACACTCTCCTTCCACATGTCCTTACAATTAGCACATAATTTGAAAAATATTACCACAACCATGTTACAAAGGAATATGGAACAGAATATAGCAGAAAAAATGAAAAAAACCAAACCCTTCTTTATTTTACAGTTATACAAATAAAACCCAATCCCCATAGCTGTACTTGAAATAATATTAACAGTGTCAAACATGACAATCTTGACAGAACATATATCAATACTTTAAATCACAGAAATTTTATTACGTATGCTCAGTAGCAATAGTACTGTGCAGGAATGAAGCTCTCTGTAAACGCACTTCCTTTATTTTATCTACATTTAGAACAATTGTGCTTTTCCCTACACAAAGTAACAGTGCTCTTAAAAATAAATAATGTGCAATTTCAGAGTTATATCCTGAAATATGCTAATCTAGATCCCCATCTAAATCCTGGACCTGTCTCTCCCAGGAAAGTCACTGTAAAGAGTGCTCAGCACTTTGCTAGATCAAACACTAAAAAAAAAAGTACTGATCCCACACCTGTTTTTCTTCAAATTGTAGTCAATTAGAGAAAAGGTGCTGACCTCAAGCACATGTTGCTTATATTGTTTAACGAAAGAATGATACAGTCTTTATTACACATCAGATCCTGTAAACCAGAGTTTGAAAGGTTCAGTAGATCTTCTTTCCAGAGAGTGGCTCAGAGCTGTGGGAGAGAACTGTCCCAAAGCGAAAAACTTAAAAGTCAAATATATTTATCTATTATTTTTATGAAATACAAAAAACTCTCTGCCACAGAAACATTAACATGTACATTAATAAACAATTTACAGTAAACTTATCTGAATGAAATCAAGTTGTACAATGTAAAGCTGCCGTAAGATTCGGAAAAATATACACTCTCTGCTGTCTTGATGTAGCTCCCAGTTCCTACTTTTAACAATCATTTAGGAACCATAGCTGGCAACTGGTATGACTGATGTGAAGATTAAATTTGAGGAACACTCAACTGATGCACATTTCTCAGCTGTTCCTCAGCAGGGCAGATATCATTACAATATTGGAGATCCTTCTTCTTTGTATCCTATCTACTTTTTGTTAGTCATTGATAATATTGGATGATTGAAGTGGCAACTATAATAAAGCCTGTTCAACTGATCTGTGCTGTAAGCAGCACAGGAGGTGCAAAGGTATATAAACAGAAATCATCCAAGGCATCTATGGAGGCTTGAGCTGTTGACTGCTTCCCTGTGAAGGACTGAGAGGTGAAATTTATTCCACTGTGAAGTCCTTATACAGCAGCTAAGCCTTTGGTGCTACAGAGCCTTTGGTCACCTTCAGGGAAAAGGAGTCACACAGTGGAACTAATCTGTTTTTTTTTGTTTTCATTCAGGACCTGGGGTGCCTCAATAGAAGAACACAAAGAGTCTCAGGGCAATGCAGAGGCAGGAGGTATAGGGGAAAGATAAGATAGGGTTTCTGAAACAAGTCCACTGCTACAGCTTTCCAGCAGTGAGAGGAATAAAAACCAAGGCCATGTAACCTAGCAGGAAAAGCTCTGGGCATGTCCCATAACAGGTCACCCTAGAGTAACCAGTAAATGGTGCTCACAAACCACCTTAAAACAGACAATTTGCAGCACAACAAACTGTACACCAGGAAGCCCCATAAGTTTTGGGCTCCACATGGACACAGATCCCACACAAGAGCAACAGAATAAAATGACTCCTAGTCTTTGTGAAAACCTCCACAGTCAAAGACTACAACTGTTGCTTGCCTCAGAGGATCATTTTAAACCTACCATTTACTACATTACACTTCAACTAAGGATACAGCTGAGGCATGTGAGACAGGAGATGGGTCCTATGCTTTCAATAGGGTGCCAGTTTGAGGGGAGGCTGCTATGAGAAGGGTGAGTGTGGATGATGGTAGAAAGCCATGAAACTGTAGCTCATGCAGAACTGAACGTGTAAAGCCTGCAGGGGGTGAAGTTAAGGACCAGTCTTGAGAAAGTATGGACAAACTCTGTTGTCTTGGAAGTAGGTGCTACTGTCGTGTCTTGTGCTCAGCTAAGTCAGAGAAACCTGTTGTACCAGCTTTAGTGACTGGGTAAAAATATGGACTCCATCGCTTGTGTACTAAAGTTAACTTGACTTGCAGAGAATCAAATGTGAAGCTTGCAAAACAGGCTCAGGCCAAATTCTGCTTCATCTGTTGACTTCTAAAAGCAAACTTTCTCATCTGTGTTCCTATTTATGTCTCATTGTGTTCAGCTATTCAATTTACACAAGTAAATTTTTTCTTTTTAGTACCACAGGAATTAGAGTGTCTCTGCTTTGCTCTTAGAGAAATAATGATTGGCATATTAAAACCTTCCCGAAGTGAAAAAAATCACGTCAGTTAATATTCTACTTTACTTGAATTCCCTTTTTGTTGATGGTCTGACACTAGAGAAAAAAGAAGACATTCCCAGAAAAAAAGATAAAGCTAAACAGATGCTTCTCTGAGCTTCTGTGAGACTGGCATCTTTGAATTATCTCAATAGAAATTCTGTCAATGTACACGACATAAGTTTTAAAAGATTAACAGCAGCAAAACCCTAAAACTTTGTCTTAAACTGCAGGTTTACACAGTGTACAAGTAACACCCTCTGGCTTATCAACAACAAATTAAACATATTCCAATCTGTGTTGCTGTTTGGTTCCTTGTGATGCCTTGGTTTCACTGGTGATCATGTTAGGACCATATCCTGCACCTTACTGTATAGCCAAAGGAGACTGTCCTGGGTAGGAAAGACTGGTGAATATAGAAAGATGCTACTGGGTCTTAGATGTAGCAGGATGACTTCTTATTTCCCATCAACTTTTGGCAAAACTGCAAGGCCATGACATAGCCACTATTTTTGTATAATCACAGACCTCTAGTCATATATGTGAACTTAAAGAGGAAAAATGGGTAACAAATGGCACTTCTAGCTAGTAAATGTTTGTGAGTGTTGTGCTACATATGAAATTGCTCAAGCTAGTTAAAAATTCACTAGATACACCAAATATCATATTTGGAGATAAGGATCTAACATAGAGCTGAAAACATAACAGGAAAATATCCATACATTGAATCTTCAAACCTTCTCCATAGCCTGGTCTGACCGAGGCGTAACCAGGTTTTCTTCATTTATGTCCTCCACTAGCACTAAAACATACCATATGCAGACAGGTTTTGTGTATTAGTATATGTTGTACTGATACTCCACCCTGTCCTACCCTCCTGTAATTTCTCATTCTCTATTTTGAAAGAAGACAGTAAAAGAATTCTTGGTTTCATGGATAAGCAAGAACAATGCCCAGAAAAATCACTGTGAGATAATGCAGCTCTGTGTTATTTCGGTTAATTACAAATCAGAACACCAAGCTGATACAAAAGAGGTATATTAGAGAGAGATATCATCCAACACCATTAGAAATTTAAGTTTTAGAAGAACTGTTTGACCTACAATTCTTTCATTTTCCCTTTAATTGGCTAGATCTTTTTTTTCTCTAGATGTGTTCCAGCATCACCCGAGTTCCTTTAGACTTTGTGTTTTCCTTTCAATTGGGAATAAAAGTTGTATAAATATATTTGAATGTATGAAATAATTTCTTTACTTACTCCTGCTGATTTTTCTGAAGAATGAAATTCTATATATGAAGTCAGTAAAGAGGCTTCGCTCTGAGATGCTTAATTCAAAAGTTTAAATAACATAAAGAATATGTTCCCTTCAGCAGCAAAGAAATATCATACTAAATCTACATCATTTCTTCAAGGAAAGGAAAAAATGTGTAAGAGTAATCTTTGGTACCAAAAATAAGGGCACCTTCTCACACGTCTTCACATTAGAAGACAACAGAAAAACTTCTCTTTAAAAATGGATCAATATGGCCTCTGAGCGGTTCCATGTCATGGGTACTGACAGCGGTAGCTACAAAAACATTTGGGACATTAAGGGTTGTGTGACAGCAGGATACAACACAATAACAATAAAATATTTGATGTTTCCCTCCACCCTCCCACCTTTATGAATTTTTTTCCTAAGACAACTCCATAAGATACATACTTTCGATTACTCATAACATCCTCAAAATCTTTAAAGGCTCCAATACTTAAAAACAACAAAACCCAACCAACAGCAATAAGAAAAACAGCAACAAAAGCTGAGGTTATAATACAAGATCAGAAACAGTCCTCTGACTGAAGGCATTTACTGATTTGCTTGATCTTATGGACTTCACTTTCTCTACTCAATTCCATCATGATATCTTCTGCCAAAGCCTAGTTTATTTGCTGAAGAACATATTCCATCCACTGGGGATTTCTTCCGTGGCCCGTCTTAACCACAGTGGCAAGTCAGCAATAAGCAGGCTATATTTTTCTTCTTTAATTCATGATGAATGTGTCATTGGATCCTGTAAACACTACTGAGTATACATTCAAGCTTTGTTCTTAGTGAAAGTGGCACTTACTTGAACCCTTGCAGTCAAGATAGCTTAGTTATATAGCACTTTACAGGTATAATAGCTGGTTATGTACTTCTGATAAAATTCCTTTTTCCGATGGCTTAGCGGGTATTGAAACATATCCTCACTGGGATCCCATTGCCATTCCACAACATCTTTATGATGAAGTGTGTATTATGTACTACTTTTTGTACTTTACATGTGCTTTATTGCTGTGCACATCTCCCTGTTGTCAATTTAAGTGCTCCTCTGTTATGTAATACATACAATGTTTTAAATTCTAATGGCATCCTATGAGGACTGGCATTAGAAAAGTACCGATACTTCAGGTCATCATAATAATGATACTTGACTGGTTTTCCATGTAAATCCTTCGGGAATGGCCAAAATCCATACAGGTGAATTTCATCACAAAATCTGGTGGCAAGCGTATACATGAGGAGACCAGTGCTGGGTCGTTTAATGTGGACCTTGTTTGTCAGCCAATAGCTGCGAAGAAAGAAAAAGTACATTAAGAAACTCTCATATAACTTCATGTGAATAAATCCTGTAAACTTATTTTATCTATTAAGCATTCGTCTTATACTATAAAAAAGCAAAGGTTTCCTTCTCTCTCAACTGAGATCATAAATGGTGACACTGGTTTGGCATACCTTTCTTATCCCTAGAAGAGAAGTAAGACCTTATTTAACGAAGTGCTGCAGAAAAGCTCTTAGTTCAGCCTTTAACCCTAACAAGAAGTCATGATGCCTGCAAATCCTAGAAAACTGCAGTTAACCTCCTCAGCCAAATCAGGGAACAGTCTCTCACTATAAACTTTGACCTCCTGCAGGATCCAATTCACCTCACAGTCAGCCCTACACTGAGTACTTGACTGGCCTAGTTCACAGATTGCATGTCTAAATAGAATGTAAATGGAAATAATAAACGTAACACCTTGAGAACGTAACTTCCGGAAGTGAACAGAAGGGAAGTTCTAATTACTTGGCTTGTGATTAAGTATGTAAAGCTTCCTGTCCACTAACAGCGCTCTCCAGAAAAGCAAAATCTTACACTAATAATTTCAAAAAGGTTTTATTTTGTACTAAACAGTTGACAGATCTGACTGATGCTATGGTACAGCTTTCTTGAGCCAGTAACAGCAGTTCAACTCATGAACTGCATGAAAGAAATTTCAAATCAAGTGAAACTAAATGAAAAACAGAGGGCGAGCAGAATATAATATAAAACATTCCTTCTTTGATCAGGAACAATCACTGATACAGCACTTCAATAGTTGTAACCAATTCTTCACCACTGTGCTCTGAAATAGTTACAATGCAGTACAAGTTCCAAATCAGGTGTACTGTACATTGATCTTATGCCTTGTGTCAGCAGTAAATGGATATGATTTGTAATGATCTGGGAAAATGAAATGAACCATGGAGGAAAGGAGTATGAGTGGAAAATCTTCTACACCTGAAAAATGTAAGAAAAACAATTAAAGATGTAAAAGTCTACCCTGATGAATCTGAGATATATGATTTTTTTACATTCATAATCACTGTTAAAGGATTGCCTTGACACTTAAATTTGTCCCAGTGTTTATGGAACCTCAGTATTTTTCCCTTTAAAAACACCAAACATGTTTCTGTCAGATCAAAGTATCACCTATGGCTTACCCTACAGTCAAAACCACCAGATTTCACTTCTACCTAGCAAGATACCTTTACATTTATAAAAATAGAATGTACTACTGTCAGTATGATTGCAGAAAAAATGTTAATTGAATAGCTTATTGCTACCATAGGATGACTTCTTGCAGCTACTAACAAAAATTAAATTAAAATAAACACAGAAAAACATAGACATCTGTTTTAAAAATAGTTAATGTTAAAATGATCTTCTGACAAGACTCTATTACAATCACTAATATATGCAACAATCAATGCCAATCATCATTACATTAAATGGATACTGGGGAATTCAAATGACAATTGTTTACTCTGCTCCTGTGGAACAGATGACTTTTGATTAGACTAAAACATAAGATGTGCTTTCCCAAGGCTGTACTCAAAATGATATGTGTCATCTCAGACAAGGAAAACCTGGTATGATGGACTAGATTCAGACACCAGATCATTTAGCATACTTACTTAACATCTTTATTTGCCCTATCTACAAATTCCATTTTTGTGTATATTTCCTTGGATTTTTAACTCCCTTCTCTGGACAGGACTGAATCTGAGGAAACACCCGAGTTATAACCCTGAAGAGCTCCAAAAGACTACATACCAAGCTCTGTTCATTCAGTGGCAAGCTGATCTCCAAGTAAACCCACTCATACACACTTGCCTGGCACTGAAATTCTGTTCTTTCTGCAGCCATGGAGAAAATTTTTTTTAAAGAGCTTTCAAAGAAATCTGGTACGGTATTTGAAAAGTTAAAATATTAACATTAATGAGAAAGTAGGGAAAAAAGATTGAGAAAGAAGACAAGACATTTCAGGGTTACTCAGGAATGTCTGTCTGTGGGAGAAGCTAGAAAATCTGCATGTTATCTCACTTGCACTCCCTGTAGAACAGGACAAGACACAGACAAAAGCAACATAGGCAATCAGAAGATTTTCTGTATTTCTGAGAGAGTAAACAGACGAGCTTGAAAAGAAACAACCAAGTGGGGATATGACAGAAAGCTCCAGAACTATGTAGCGTTTAATGGCGGCAAATAGGGATTTAATTTCTACTGTAACACAAGCACTGTAACATAAAAACTATGGTGGAGTTATTCAGTGGTAGGTCTAAATTAAACAGATCAAAGTACTTTTTAATACACCGCTGAATAGTGGAATTCATTGCAACAGGATGTTTTGGACAACAACGGCCAACTTGCTGCAGTTTGCAAACACAGCAGTGCAGATGAAGCTCCCGCTCAAAGGTTTGCTAAACTGCTGGCCATGGGAGCAGACATCACAGGGTAAATGCTTGACATGTCCTCTGTTTTTAACTCTTCTTCTAAGCCTCTGTGTTGGCACCTGGCACTGGTCAGACCACTGGCTAGAGAGGGATATACTTAAACAATTGCTTTTATGTTATCTGACCCAGTGTATGCTTTCTCTACAAGGTATTAACTAAAATAACTTCCTTAAACTCAGAAATAAAGCCTTTGCTTGTGCTTTCATGTGTTCAGTGGGATTAATCACATCAATGATACAAACAATCCTTCAACTGACCTTCTCAGTTTATGTGAATGGATTAATTAGAAATGCATTATTCTTCCGTCTCTTACTGAGATATGCCTTGGGCAGGAGGCTGCACGAGGAATCTAGAGTGTGAAAGAACTAAAGTCTGAACAGTAACACCAAGAATATAACAGCCAGCACTGAAACACTGCTGAGTGTTTGCATAAGATCTGCTTTACAGTTGTCAATGTACACTATTCTAAAATAGTATATACAAACCGCATTTCATTAAAAGGAATAATGCACTTTATGAAGAGCTGAAACACTCCCAAAACCTGCCGTTTACTTTCTAGCAAACTTAACTCAGTACTTTAATGTTAAGGGTTATTTTTGAGGGGAGGTTTCTTCCTTTACCCCTTCATTTTACACTGTCCAGTACATTCAAATTCTTGCTTATAAAGCAGATTTCAAGGACCACTCCAGAGACTGGACGCTGCCTAGCAATTCTCCTCAGAAAGAGAAAGAAAAGACCAGTGATACCAATGGTGAATGCCAGCCATGTTACATACCCTGCATTGCCACAGCTGAATGAGAGCATGGCCAGCAGGCTGCCATTCAGTGTCACCGCCACTGCAGAAAATTTTAACCACTGTGAAAATAGTCTTTACTGGCTACGACAACATAATTAAGAATATTCTAAAGCTCACTTTTACCTGTCTTAAAATGAAATGGTTCGCCTTCCCTGGTGTAAGAGACTATTCTGCTTTGTGCCACTACTCTAGCACAATCTGTTCCCAAGGCTGCCCTAATCAACTTTTTGAAAATCACCTCAACAGGGAAAGAATCTGCTAAGGATAAAGTAGTATCAAAATGTAGTGTAGCATTGCCCTTCTGTTGTCAGTGAATTAAGAAACGCCTGCTAAACTGAAGACCAGTTAAGCCTATGAACTTTTTTCTCATACATAAAAAGACTAAAATCCTCCGCAGCCACAAGCCACGTGTCCCATATAATACTGGGAAGGATGGGGTAGTAAGGTCAAAATATGAAGGAGAAAGCCTTTAGGACTAATTAACAGGATATGTTTAAGACTAGGAACATGTCTCAACTTCTGTCCCACTTCTGCAATATTTCCAAGCTATCAGAATACTTTTATTTTAACCCACACTAGCTCCTTTAGTTTTCATCTAAAAAAAGAAATTACTGACCTGGGTTTAGAAGGAAATCAAAGGATGAATAAATCTCCTTAACCATTTGACAAAAGCATTCACCCAAAGGAAAAAAAAAAACCCCATGCTTCAATCCTTGATGAACCAATGACAATAGGTTTTGTGTTAAACCATCATTAGTTTCAAAATATAAAATGCCTATGCTGCAGAGTTCTTGATTCTTCCTTCATCAACCAGGACTTTGAAAATTGCCCGTGCATTTTTTGATTTTAAAGTAGAAGCATTCCAGCAGGACAGACAGATAACGTCCCTTTCCCCAGCAAAGCCCCCAACAGGTATGACACAGAGTGTGACTGCAGAAAACACAGGCCTCAATCTGGTCAGATGGAGGAGGAGGCAAGTTTAAGCCTTCGAAGATGCTGTGTACCCTGTGCTGCAGTACAAAAGGAGAATGAGAGCCATCATCTCCCATTTGCTTAAATGATCTCTGCAGTGCATCTGTGTGAAAACCAGTAACAGGGACATTGCCTCCTCAGAGCACACCTACAAGACCAAGCTCTCCTTACAAGGCTGCGAGAAGGTCTTGCTGTCAACACCTATGCAAAGGTTAGCAATAAGGTACCTGGCACCCTCCTCACTCCTGTCATGACCAAGCAACTCCAGAACATGAGCAGAAGGTAAGCTGAATGACCAAAATTCGGAATGTCAGAAAAGTCCAAGCTATTTCCCTAAACACCTATGCCTGTACACAAAAGTGCTTGTACATAACATGTTTCAACTGACACCAGATCATCGTCATCGCTTAGCCATGAAGCTTTGGTAAATGCTATTTTATCTTCACACTATTATAAAGTACACTGTATCTGTGAAATTGCTTAATGCCTCTGTACCCAGATGAATATAAAGCCATTCAAACCCGACTAGAGTAAGTAGAGAGGTGACTCTGTAAAAGAGGAAAAAACTGCCTAAAAGATACTCTAAAATTCCAAAGAAATGTCATGGATTCTACTAGAAACACCCTCCTTGAGTTGTGGAGTTGAACCTTGCTTGGTTTATTCCAGCAGCAGGGTAAACCCCTGCAGAAGAGTCTTTAAGCAACAGGAGTTGCAAACCTTACAAAACAAGTAAGAATTTAAATTGAACCCAAATTTTAGCAACAAAA